TCCACTGTATATTTCCTGCCAACTTACAACCACCACCACCACTACTACTACCTGCCATCATACCCAACACCACCCCCACCACCACTACTACCTGCCATCATTACCAACACCACCACCACCCTCTACTACCATCATTACCACCCACGCAACTACTACCTGCCATCATTACCACTACCACCACCACTACTACCTGCCATCATTACCACCACCGCTACTACTACCTGCCATCATTACCACCACTACTACTACCTGCATCATTACCACTACCACCACCACCACTACTACCTGCCATCATTACCACCACCGCTACTACTACCAATCATTACCACCACTACTACTACCTGCCATCATTACCACCACCACTACCTGCCATCATTACCACCACTACTACTACCTGCCATCATTACCACCACCACTACTACCTGCCATCATTACCACCACCACTACTACTACTGCCATCTTACCAACACCACCCACCACCACTACTACCTGCCATCATTACCACCCACCACTCCATCACCACCACCACTACTACTACCCGCCATCATTACCACCACCACTACTATATGTCATCTTACCACCACCACTTACTGCCATCATTACACCCACCACTACCCGCCATCATTACCACTACCACCACTACTACTACTACCTGCCATCACCACCACCACTACTACTACCTGCCATCATTACCACCACCACTACTACTACTACCCGCCATCATTACCACCACTACCACTACCTGCCATCATTACCAACACCAACCCCCACCAATCACTACCACTACTACCTACCATCATTACCACCACCAACTACTACTACCCGCCATCATTACCACCACTACTACTACTACCCGCCATCATTACCACCACCACTACTACTACTACCCGCCATCATTACCACTACCACCACCACTACTACTACCCGCCATCATTACCACCACCACTACTACTACCCGCCATCATTACCACCACCACTACTACTACCTGCCATCATTAACACCACCACCACTACTACACCATCATTACCACCACCACTACTACTACCTGCCATCATTACCACCACCACTACTACTCACATCACACCACCACCACCACTACTACTACCTGCCATCATTACCACCACCACTACTACTACCTGCCATCATTACCACCACCACTACTACTACCTGCCATCATTACCACTACCACCACTACTACTACTACCTGCCATCATTGCCACCACCACCACTACCTACCAACATTACCACCACTACTACTACCTGCCATCATTGCCACCACCACCACTACCTACCAACATTACCACCACTACTACAACCACTTTATCACTTGTCGCTCCCTGACAACATCTAGCCATTATATCACCAAGATATTCATGAACATTGACTTGCCACACCTACGCACCTGCCACACTTCTGCACCTTCCACACTTACACACCTACCACACCTGTCAATCTTACACAACTCCCCACCTACCATACCTGCTCATCTACACCTGTCCACCTACCATGCCTGCCACATCTACACACCTGCTTCACAGTAAAACCCAAACATCTTACAAGAACAACAAACTATAATTTTAACCATTTTTTAATACCATGTCATTTCCTCTCTTGTTACTAGTGGTGATATTGAGGGGAGATATTCTGGTGTGTGTGACCTTACCAAATACATCGCCCCCAAGCGAGAGAGAGAAGGTCCTTATTGATTTATGAGTTTTACTGGGTCAAAGGTCAAGGTCATGTGTGAGTGATTAGACATAGGAGAGTCCCAAGTGTGACCTCTACCACCCTTGTGTTTATTGATCACAAAGGTTGTATAATCCAGAAAGTGTTGGTATTAATTAATGTGTATATCACCTGTGTGTTGGTGATGGTACACACACACACACGCAGGTATAATGTGAGTCTGTGTTATTGACTCACACAATAATGAAAAAATATTCACTGGGTGAGTGATGTATAGGTGACCCCCTCCTGTGAGGTCTGATACTGTAAAGAGAGTGAGAGTAGACAGCTTTAATCTTGCTTAAACTTTTGAAAACAGCTTAAAATGAATTTATACACCTTTGAGAAAGCTTGAAGCATATTTAAAGTCTTGAAAACAGCTTGGGGTTACTTTATAGTGCTTGAAGCAGATTTAGGACTCCTGAATACTATTTAAAGCAATGAGTATATAGCGTGCCTCAATATGTACAGCTTACTGTTAAGCTGGGTCATGTCAGAGCAGGGGTAGTAGTGTGTGGGGAAGGGGTTTTAATTTAAGAGTGCATTTTTTTTTTTTAACAGCCCATTGTTTCATCAATAGAAGCACCAAATTCTACATTAATGGAGATCCTATCAAAATAGTAAACCAGTTTAAGTACCTTGGTAGCACTCACACCCACCTGCTCACTGGATATGGAAATTCAAACCAGAATCAATTTAACCTTGGCTGCATTTAGAAGTTAAAGAACAAGTCTTTCTCAACAATGACCTCAAATATGGAACGAAGACTGCAGTTTATCTCGCGGTCTGTATATCTACATTATTACATGCCTCAGAAACCTGGACGCCCTACAGACTCCATATCCAAATACTGGAAAACTTCCACACTAAATGCCTTAAGCGTATCTTTGGAATATCCTGGGAAGCGTGACTCGTGAAGAACTATATTGTTGCTCAAACATGACCAGCATTGAAACCATGCTAGCCAAAAGACTTTTGCCCTGGCTTGGACATGTTATCAGAATGCCAGACCACCGGCTTACATGGCAAGCTCTCACATGGAAACCGCTCTGCGGGAGGACAGAAAAGAGATATAAGGACCACTCTAAAACTCGACTCAAGTGCTGTAATATACAACCAAATTCACTGGAGCAACTAGCCCCAGACCGTTCCTTACGGCGCTCAACATGCCATAGAGGAGCGGAAACACTCGAGACCTCACTGAACCAAAAGAGAGCTACTAAACGAGCCCAATGACATCAGAGGGCTCAAGGGACTGCCATAAGTCAAGTTAGATATGAGAGTGTTGATGTGTGTACTGTATGTGTGCAGAAGCTTTAGAGAGATGAATGTCTATATTTGTGCATATATCCATGTAGTATGTGTATGACTGAACACACACACACACACTTACTTAATACTCCCTCTACGAACAAATTGCAGTTCTAATATTAAAAAAGAACAGTATTTTCAGGGTTGAGTAAGAACCTTGGGTGGGGGTTAGCCAATTAAGGTGATACAATAATGGTGGGCATGGTCATTTAACTATTAAATTGGTTAGAGTTTTTAATTGTTATACCAGAAGGTTTGTTGTCCAGCTGTGGGGTGTTGTGTAGCAGGTGTGGGTGTTGTGTAGCAGGTGTGGGGTGTTGTGTAGCAGGTGTGGGGTGTTGTGTAGCAGGTGTGTTGTGTAGCATGTGTAGGTGTGGGGTGTTGTGTAGCAGGTGTGGGGTGTGTGTAGCAGGTGGGTGTGTAGCAGGTGTGGGGTGTTGTGCAGGTGTGGGGTTTATAGTAGGTATGTGAGGTGTTGTGTAGCAGGTGTGGGGTTTATAGTAGGTGTGTGAGGTGTTGTGTAGCAGGTGTGGGGTTTATAGTAGGTATATGAGGTGTTGTGTAGCAGGTGTGGGGTTTATAGTAGGTGTGTGAGGTGTTGTGTAGCAGGTGTGGGGTGTTGTGTAGCAGGTGTGGGGTTTATAGTAGGTGTGTGAGGTGTTGTGTAGCAGGTGTGGGGTGTTGTGTAGCAGGTGTAAGGTATTGTGTAGCAGGTGTGGGTGTTGTGTAGCAGGTGTGGGTGTTGTGTAGCAGGTGTAAGGTATTGTGTAGCAGGTGTAAGGTATTGTGTAGCAGGTGTAAGGTATTGTGTAGCAGGTGTAGGGTATTGTGTAGCAGGTGTGTGTGTTTTGTGTAGCAGGTGTGGGCGCAGTGTCTGCAGTGTCCAAGCATTGCGTGTGTGTTAAGGATCTAGCATGACATAATGTCAGATAGGAGGCAAAAAAGAGCTATCCCACAGTCATCATGAAGGCTGAATATCCCAGTGAGTTTCAAGGTGTTTATAACCCATAAAATCTTGCCATGTGAAGTGTCTTCCTTGTACTCAGAAACCTGGAAGTCATTTTACCCTCGTCTTGTGCAACTATTTCAGCGTTGCGTATTTTTATGTTATTGTTATACTTTTTATTTATTATTTTATTTAAATTTATGGAATGGTTTGTAAATGTTGCAGTTTTAATTAATTGGTGGTTATGGTGCACTGGAGGTGAGGTGTGGAGTTAAAGGTTGGTTAGGGATGAAGGTGTAGCGGGAGTTAATGAGCGGTTGGAAGGAGCGTTGCGGTGATGGCCATGTAAATTTCGCTTCACGTGATGATGGCTGGGCCGCCGGCTGTTATTGATCTACACACACGTACACACACACACACACACACACACACACACACACACACACACACACACTAATTTTCTTTTTCTTTCACTAAATTATAATCAAACTTTCCTTATACTTTCTAATTACATTTGAGAATAGACATCAAAAGACAAACTACAGGAAAAAGTATAAAATTTTATCAGGAAAGTTACATCCCAATAAAAGTTTTACAGATTGGCCAAAGAAAGTAAAGAAAGGTGGAAAGTTTATAATCTGTGGTGGACTTTTAAGAAATTTGGAAAGAAAATGGACAGATAAAAAGTTTATAATTTTGGCGGCTGTTTTGTTTGAACCTGCCGAGATATATTCTTCCCAAGTCTTGTGTCTTGAAAAATGGACAAAGTTGATATTACTTCTTGGAGTCTTTGAGAAATTAATTTTGCTGTGTGTGGGGGTATTTCTGCAAGGTAATTGTGCTCAGATAATTCCTTTCTAGTTTTTGTTTTTGTAAAATATTAAACAATGTCATGTGCATGGTATGGCAGCAGGGTGGTGGCGGTGGTGGGTAGTGAGGCATCACGTGATGGTGGTGTGAGGCAGGTGTTGGTGTGTGGCTCAGGTCAGTGTTTCTGTGTAGCTTGTGGTGGTCTGAGCTGTCCCTACCACCATGGACCCTGGCTCTCTCTCACCCAGAACCTACATGGCAACCACCACCATTATTTACTCTACACAGCTGATGTATTAACAGTGTATTACTCCAAAGTATAAGTTTTAAAAAAATCTTGAAAATATGTGCACCTGTGCACCTGTTACTTCAGTTCATCTTCTCGACTTGAAATGAGTTTTGTTTAGTTGTGAGGATAACAGACTGTGGTGCTTGTGTTTACCAGTCCAGTGTGATCTTAGACATGATTGGACCTGTTTGTTTTCATCAGGTGACAAGATCGTGGACATTCTTACCCATGTGATATATTATATACTGTGATAAAATGAGTTAGTTTACCCCCCCCAACGGAAGCTAAGATCACCACCTCCAGTTTACACTTCTCCACAGGACTTGTGAGGTGGACGTGGGTAATGGGTTTTATCATCAAGCCTGGATGATTCACACACAATTTTAGAAATGACTCAAAACTGTATAACTAAAACTTTGACTTTGCAAGAAGATTTTGAAAATTTGAAACTATATCTTAGGGCATTTGTGTTGGGACTTTTTGTGGGGAAACTTGACCCCAAAATAACCCCATGAATGGTTTAAACTTGACCCCAAAATAACCCCATGAATGGTTTAAACTTGGCCCCATAATCCCCGTATTACTTTCCCTATGGTCCACTATGCTAAGCTGACCATGTACAAACCTTGTAGAGCCATGAGAGTGTTTTGGTCATGGGTCTGGGTTTGGTCATGGTGTGTGCCTGGTGGGTGGTGTGCGGCGCCCATACCCTCGGGACTGACCACAGAGGAATATATCTTCACAGGACCCACCACTGCCATCCCCACCCCGCCGCCCCCACCAGAGGACTTTGTTGCCAGCTACAAGGAGGCTTTTGCTTCATTCGTTCACGTCACCATCAGTTACAACGCTACCTTAAACTTCTCCAGAGTGAGTAGAGTAGAGTGGGGGAGAGAATAGATCGAGTGGAGGAAAGGGTGGCATGAGGGAGGCAGTGTTGTTGAAGGAGATGTATGTCATTAGTGCCATCTATATATCACAGAACATGGCACCCAGTACATGGTCATTATGTCATTAGTGCCATCTATATATCACAGAACATGCCACCCAGTACATGGTCATTATGTCATTAGTGCCATCTATATATCACAGAACATGGCGCCCAGTACATGGTCATTATGTCATTAGTGCCATCTATATATCACAGAACATGGCACCCAGTACATGGTCATTATGTCATTAGTGCCATCTATATATCACAGAACATGGCACCCAGTACATGGTCATTATGTCATTAGTGCCATCTATATATCACAGAACATGGCACCCAGTACATGGTCATTATGTCATTAGTGCCATCTATATATCACAGAACATGGCACCCAGTACATGGTCATTATGTCATTAGTGCCATCTATATATCACAGAACATGGCACCCAGTACATGGTCATTATGTCATTAGTGCCATCTATATATCACAGAACATGGCACCCAGTACATGGTCATTATGTCATTAGTGCCATCTATATATCACAGAACATGGCACCCAGTACATGGTCATTATGTCATTAGTGCCATCTATATATCACAGAACATGGCACCCAGTACATGGTCATTATGTCATTAGTGCCATCTATATATCACAGAACATGCCACCCAGTACATGGTCATTATGTCATTAGTGCCATCTATATATCACAGAACATGGCACCCAGTACATGGTCATTTCAGTCAATGGATTATGTAGTGACTTTTGATTGTATAGTAACTGTCTTGATTATATAGTGACTGGTGATATTTAAGTTCTGTGTTTTATTATTATCTTTCGTGTGTGTGTTTGTTACGCTCATTGAATTGATCTCTCGTGTGCGTGTGTTTTTTACGCTCGCCGACGTGTGTGAGGGAGGTGCAGAAAGCCGACGATGAGAGCATGAAAGTCAGTCAGCTGAGCGAACACGTTAAGACGTGTTTATCATGACGTCACAATGTAAACACGACATCCTTTGACCTGTCATGGTACACGAACCACCTCTCTGTTTATTAACTTTATCTCCTAATTGATATTAAATGAATTGTACTAGTTAAGGTCGAGTCTCTGCCGAGATTTTAAGCAAATTGTTTTTTTGTTTTTTTATTTAACCAGGTTATATTTGAGATGATGAATCTTGTTACAGGGAAAATGCTGAGCAGTCTTCTTGTTTATGTAATGATCATTTGTTTTGTATTATTATTTTTATAATTGCTGCTGTTATTATTGATAAAGTTTTAGTATTAATATTATCGTAAATCATCCGGTGTTTTTATAACTACACTTGCTATACTACCCAGGGCCCCCACTATCAGCTTTTCCAGATTTATGGTGTTGGATCAGGCAGTGTGGCCGAGGACCAGCGTGTCATCTGTAAGGGCCACTATTCTCTGGGGGAAAATGGTGCTGTCCTAATGGGCCCTAGTTCTAACAGGCCCCAGTCCTAATTTTTTATAGGTTGAGCTGTTAGGATTGGGGTATTAAAACTGGGGCCTATTAGAACCGAGACCTATTAGAACCGAGACCTATTAGAACCGAGACCTATTAGAACCGAGACCTATTAGAACCGAGACCTGTTAGAACCGAGACCTATTAGAACTGAGACCTATTAGAACTGAGACCTATTAGAACTGAGACCTATTAGAACCGAGACCTATTAGAACCGAGACCTATTAGAACCGAGACCTATTAGAACCGAGACCTATTAGAACCGAGACCTGTTAGAACTGAGACCTATTAGAACTGAGACCTATTAGAACCGAGACCTATTAGAGCCAAGACCTATTAGAACCGAGACCTGTTAGAACTGAGACCTGTTAGAACCGAGACCTATTAGAATCGAGACCTATTAGAACTGAGACCTATTAGAACCGAGACCTGTTAGAACTGAGACCTATTAGAACCGAGACCTATTAGATACAGCAAACATTTTGCCCCCTTTATAATGACCTCAACCACCTGGACCCATTTATAACCAACTCAACCCCGATAGAACGAATCCAGTCTCATCATTCCCATTATGACAAACTCTTCCCGATCCCAACCCCTACTTAACGACCTCCTAACCCGACTTCCGTTACATCCCAACCTCTCTATCTCCAACTCACCCCCGTTACAATGAATGAACCGTGTTACAGGCAGCATGATAACAGGACAGTGATGGCCCTTCGTGACGCAGTGCAGGTCTTGTGTGACTCGGCGGTGGGGGGGTTGAAATTAGGGGGGGTATTTTGTAAGGGGTGTTGGTTAAGGTGTGTGTGTGTTACGGGGGGGATGGATTGCTGGTGTAAATATGAAGGGGGATAGCTTGTTGGTGAATGTGTGATGGTGAGTGAGGGAGTGTATGTGATGGTTGGTGATATGGAAGAGGATTATGGATTAAATGGGTATAATGAAGAGAGCGGATGATACAGGGAGTAGAAGAGTTGGGGGTAAGGAGGAGGGACAGACTAGTTGAGGGTGATAGGGAGGGTAAGAAGGAGGGAGAAGAAATAGCACGTATAAGGGTAAAGTTCTGGGAAGGCAAATGGCTTAGGTGGAGGAAGGTTGTCACGAACTAAGGTCACTTGACACGCCTGAGTCTGTGGATAGCTTGTCGACTCACTGATAGCATGAGCGTAGGTTAGTGGGGCAGATCAGGAATATCAGAAGGGGGGTTTCAAGAAGTTGTGGCTGGGAAACATGGCGAGCCCTCCCAGCTGGAGGTTATTGAAGCCATCTGCACTTGATATTGGGAGATATTCTTATGTCAATGGTAATTACTTTTACTATACAAAAATGTCTAAGTACATTAATGAGAAAATATTGTCATTTGCTGATGGATCCACCCGTCAGATTTTGTTATATTAGTTTAGGTTTACGTTGCATTTGTACGTTTTTGGAATGGGTGTGAAGGACAATATTGTGTGTGTGAAAATATAGGTAGTGTAAGTGAGCCAACAGGTGCGTGTTGAGGTGTGACCATTAAGGTTTACTACACCCTCCATTATCCACTCTCCAGTCAGAGTCGTAATGGCTTACACCAAATACCTGTGGTGACTGATCGGGAATGGGTTACCTGAAGATTAGGCACCCCAGCTTATTTAATATAAGATTATGTGAATGCATCTAGTTAAGGTAGTCTCATTTGGTATTAAGTAAATATATCTAGTTAAGGTAGTGAAGTTTATCTCGGTATAAATGGTGTTATGTAAATGTATCTATAGTTAAAGAGTGACAGTAGCCCCACTTAACCAATATCAGGTGAACATATCTAGTTAAGTTAATACAACCCATCATTAATCTCTATATTATTTTAGTGTATGTTAAGCCATCCAGTTGGTCTGAATTCACTAGCCATGGGAAGTATTGGTGGTAAGGACCTTCGTGTGTCTGGCCTCGGGTAACATTAGACTGCTAAGAGCTTTATGGTGGACGGCAGCGAAATCACCCTGATGAAACTCCTTTGATTTTTACTTTAGCAAACTCATGTTGTGTGTGTGACACAAGAACAGCTTTGTTTTTGTTTATTAGTTTGTTAGTGGTTGTTGTTCTGTTATCAGACAGGGAGGTACTACTGTACAGGAAGATATTGGAAGCATAATGGTAGACCTGGCTGCCTCATTTTCACACAGTTGCCGGGTATCATAGTTTGACAACACAGTATATATATATATATATATATATATATATATTTATATATTTATATATATATTGTTTCTCACTCTTGATCTGTTTTAATTTGTCCATATCTCTTTATTTATGGTGACATTTTCATAGCCCAGGTCTCGATGTGAGTCGGTGACTTGTGGCCGGTTGGGATAGTCCTCTTAAATAATAATAATACATTTATTTATTGGATACAAGCAGCATGTATTGACCAGTCATTGTCTTTCACTTTTATGCCTTATATGAATGACCGACTTCTTGATGACAATTATTAAATTAAAAAGTTAAATAATCTTGTGTATTATTCAATAATTTGTGAGAAAAAAATATAGACGAGATCAGTTGTATGAGTCGGTCCAACAGTTTTAAGAGGGTTGTATAGTGTGCTATTTACCCTGGGTACATAGGTGAATGTGACAAATTGCTCTCTTTAACCAAACATTCACACACTTGAAGGACACAAACCACACACAGGTTTTCCACTGTCATTATTTCTTAATGGAGAGTTACCATGCTAGACCTCCCTACCCCACCCTACTTAGTCATACAGCTGCCTCTTAATGTCCTCAAGTTGCTGCCACACATCTCCTGAACTCTCTTACTCGTTTTACTCCCAAAAAAATAATCAATCGCTTAATGATTAGATTCACAACTATCGATGCTGACTCCTGGTATTATGGGTAATGACTGTATTAGTTAAATGACCAACACTTGCTCTTGGTCCTCCAACCTTACCCGTCGTTACCAACATCATTTGCTTCATTTGTTTCACTTGAATTATAGTCTATACACAATTTATATGCTTAATTTGTTACACTCTTTGCAGCATTTGCATCACTTGCTTCAGTCCCTTCTCTTCATTCAGTTCATTTGCTTCACTCCCTTCACTTGCCTCACTCCCTTCACTGGGAACTTGAACCAACAGGGTCGTCTGATTTAAAAAGGTCATCCACACGACACACTAGACACCATTACTCCTCTGGGGGATAGTTCTCTCTCTCTTTCTCTACATTCATCTCTTTTCTCTTACATACCTTCCTTCTCTCCCTCCCTCCTTTAACCTACCCCTCTCTCTCTCCTCCTCCCCCCTTTCTTGTTCCTCCCTACTCATCCTTCTTCCCTCCCCCCCTTACCCATCCTTCTTCCCTCTCCCTACTTAACTAACCTTCCTCTCCCCCTCCCTTTCCCTCTCTCTCCTTCCTCCCTCTCACCCCAGTATCCAGCTGTCTCCTATACCTTACAGTATCTAGGGGC